GCAGAGTTGCCAGAATGCCAAGGGACAAAGTCTTCCTAATACCACTTTTGCTGGGTCTGCTTGCTAAAATTAAAGACCATCTCATCACCAAAGGGAGGAGCAATCACCTTCAAAGCCTGATGGAAGATACTGTATAATTTTGTGTCATAAAAGCACATGAATTTGAGGACAAGAAAGGACAATTGATGACTATCTTCACAATCTACCACACTAATAGAAGTGTGATGATAATAATAATGATAAATGGATGACAAGTATGATAATAATAAACACTTGATGAATCCATAGGAGGCAAGAAAAAAACAAAGGAGCACAAATAAAGAACAAAGGGCAAGATGGTAGATATAAACCTACTTATACCACTCAACACACGTCAAAGTTTGCAGAGCTGCTATTTGCACCCTGTTTATGATAGACATAAGGACACAGCTAACGTCTGGTCCTGTTGTTCTTTTTGTATCTGTGAATTTTATCTAATACAACTGATACACACACACACACACACACACATTTCAAACACCTTCCAGCCACCTGACTTCATTGGAAAAGAGACAGCTTTTCACCTCATCTGCTTGTAACCACCACTTCACAACTCAGAAGTTCCACTCTACCAACAACCACTTGAAGCCAAATACCAGATTTGTTATAGCATTTATGTTTGTCTTAACAAAACATACAGCCAATGTTTTGCTTAAGGCTTGGTTGAGATATAACACATCATATTATTCATCTATTCAAGGAGGCTTTTAGTCTATCTTGTGTCATGAAACTGTCACCAAAATCAATTTAAGAGCTTAAAAAATTATTTTCAGGCTGGGAATGTGGCTTAGTGGTGCAGTGCTTGCCTAGCATGCATGAGGACCTGGATTTGATTCCTCTGTACCACATAAGCAACAAAAAAACTTTAGAAAATGTGTTAGAAAGAAACTTTTGTACTCTCTAGGTGTCAATCCCTAACCCCAGACAACCACAAATCTATTTGCCTAGTATAGACATTTCACAAGAATGAATAAATATAATGTGTATCCTTTTGTGACCAGTTTCTTTCATTCATTATAATGTTTTCAAGGTTCATCCACATTGTATGTTATTTCTTTTATGCCACCATGACATTCCATGGTGAAGACAAACCACATTTTCTTTATCATGCATTTAGGTGATAAATATTTAGGTCGTTTCATTCTTTGGGAGGTTTTAAGTAATGATGTCATGGACCTTCATATACACATGGTTGTGCTGATATGTAGGTTCACATACACTCCTTAGCAAAGAAATTGCAGGGGCCTATGATGACTCTTAATCTAGCTTTTTGTGTAGCTACTAGTCAGTTTCCGAAGTGGACGGACCATTTAACGGCTCCACAGAATGTAGAAGGACTTTCACTTCCTGCATCCTCGCCAGCAATTTTCATTTTCCATCATTAGCATTATGGCCAACCGAGGAGGAGTGACGTGGGATTTCATTGTGGCTTAGATTTGCATTTCCTTTATGGATAATGATGTTGTTGAGCATGTGTTTTATGTGCTTATCGGCTATTTGTTCATAGTAGTGTCAGTCCAAAAAAATCCAGCATAGTGAGGAAAGAAGGAAGTTTGCATAATTAACCACGAATGATTTAGATATTCATATGGAGGGGAAAAAAATAAATTTGGCCCTTCTCTACTTCACACTATATAGAGAAAGCAATCTCACGTGCCTGTAGATCTAAACATGAAACAAACAAAAATAATAAACAATAGTTCATCAATGATTTTTTTAAAAAAAGAGTAAATATCTTCATGATATCAAGATAGAAAATATTTCTTTAAAAGAATTCAAATAATACCATTTAGGACAAAAATAACTCCCAAGAGTACTGCATTAAAATAATATCACAGGCCGGGCGCTGGTGGCTCACGCCTGTAATCCTAGCTACTCAGGAGGCTGAGATCTGAGGATTGCGGTTCAAAGCCAGCCCGGGCAGGAGAGACCGTGAGACTCCTATCTCCAATAAACCACCAGAAAACCGGAAGTGGCGCTGTAGCTCAAGTGGTAGAGCGCTCGCCTTGAGCTGGAGAGCTGAGGGACAGCGCCCAGGCCCAGAGTTCAAGCCCCACGACCGACAAAAAAATAAATAAAATAAAATAATATCACTCATCTCCTCCAGCCTCCAAAGAGTGACCTGGACACAATGATATATATTTGTAGCTACTCAGGAGGCTGAGACAAGAGGATTAATGAGCCCAAGAGTTAGAGATCAGCCTGAGCGAAAGAGCAAGACCCTGTTTCACAAGGAGTAAAAGGTAAGGACACTAAATGAGAGAGGGAATCTGTCATACCTTGAGGTCAAGTGTGTCCCTCAAAGATGGTCTCTAGAATATCTACCACGTTACACACTCTACTGCAAGGTGACCTTGCGCATCACTATCAAGAATGGGGATTATTTCCTCTGGAGAAATAATAATACTATTTATCATTATAAGAAATATTATTTCTTCTCCTGACTACATCTTTTGAGATCTCATGGCTCCCATGAGATCTTCCAGGGACGCTCACTTTGGATGCTCTTCTTGTGAAGTTGGTTGAAGCACAGGAAGTTCAACTACCTTGAATTGTCATGGTAGAAAGACCGTAAGTGGGCACACCTGTTTACAGACCTCGCTGAGCTTCCAGATGGCAGTCAGCATCATCTAGCAGACATATAATCCAGTCAAGATTTCAGACAGATGACAAAACCAAAGGAGACATCCCACGTAAGAATTATGCAACCAAGCCCTTCTCCAATCTCTGATCCTCTGAAACATGAGCAAAAGAAAATCATTGCTGCTTGCTTTGCATCACGACATTTGGAAGTCGTTGTTACACTGTAATAATGAGACCTGACAAAGAATTGTATGCCCAGAAAACATAAAAGACTCCTTACTAATCAATGAGAGAAATAGACAGACAATGGGCAGTAATAAGAGAACAAAAGGCTTGAGATCAAATTGTTCATTTACCATCAACCTCAATGACAATTAAGGAAAGGCTAATTAATGGCATGTTGTGGCATAATGAGACACGCTAATACAAATCTACTACAATGGAAAAATAGCACTCTTCTATAGTTGAAGACACACACACCTACCAATTTTACCATAAATATATACACATGTGAACATGTGTGTTTATGTGCATTTGTGTGTGTGAGAGAGAGGGCTCAGGTACACCAGAAAACACATGCATGAATGTTCAGAGTAGCAAAAGATAGAAACTGGCAAAAATTCAAAGTTCCATCAATAGTAGGCAGACAAATTAATCATACCATATCAAACAACGGAAAACCCGGTGGCTGTGAAAATAAGCAAAGTATAAGTCATTATAGCAATAGGTAAAAGAATCTTGCAAATTATGACTAAAAATACCCATGACATGAATCCACTTAAATTAGGCTAAGACCCAAGCAAAACATGTATTTGGGGAATAAAAGAATAAAAATCAGGGAAATGATAAGATCAAGATACTTCATCCTGGACACCTTTTGAGGTTAGCGAAGGGCTTGTGAAAGGAAGTAAGAGAAGCTTCTGGAATGTCAAAGCTATTGCACATCTCCTGTTGGGACATAAATGTTTGCTTTAAGCTTCACATTTCTAATGAAATCACATACAGCTTAATAGATTCAATTCTTGCACTCGAGAAAGCTGGTAATGGTTATTAACAATCTGGTCTTGGTTTGAGGCCAAGGATGGACTTGACTTGTGGAATGGCATGAAAAAAAACACACGACTGGAGTCTGTAAACACAGAAGAGAGGGGTTGAAACAGCCATGGGACATATCATCATCATCATCAGATCACCATCATCATCATCGTTATGTTGCTGGTACTGGGGCTTGAACTCAGGGCCCTGCACTCCTGCTTGTCTTTTTCAATCAAGGTTAGTGATCTACCACTTAAGCCACAGCTCTGCTTCCAGCTTTTTGCAGCACAACTAGAGACAGAGTCTCACAGACTTTCCCTGCAATCCTCAGATCTCAACCTCCCGAGTAGCCGGGGGTTATAGACGTGAGTCACTAGCGCTCGGCTTTGGGATCTTTTCTTGGTAATTTTTAATTTTTTAATGTTATTCGAAAGGTGATGTACGCAGAGGGTTACGGTTAGGTAGCTTTAGTTTTTTAAATAAGAAAAATTCTAGGGATGCAACTGTGTGTGTGAGAGAGAGACAGAGACAGAGAAAGACAGAGAGAGAGAGAGAGACAGAGACAGAGATTGGGAGAGAGATTGGGAGGGAGGGAGGAAGGGAGGGAGAGGATGTCTGCGGGAGGGCTATGCCAATTCAGAAAACCAAGTGCCACCTGATTTTAAAAAGACTTGTGCATGAGCTCAGAGCTCTGAAGCCAGAGGCCGGACCTTTCAGCGTGGGGCGGGCTGGGAGGAAGGTGCCTTCTTCTTCTTGTTCTTTTGAATGTGCGGTGCTCAGCTGCAGCGCACAGCCTGCAGCCCCGCAGGGAGGAGGTTACCAGGATGCGGGGGGAGGGGGGGAGGCCCCACGCCATGTCCCCACGCGTGATGCTCTTCAGGTTCCACGCGTGGTCGCTCTGCCTCTGCTGACTCTCTCCCACCGAGGGTGTGTAGTCCCTGGAAGAAAACTGCAGGAGAGTGGGGAGCACACGCGGGATCCATTCAGTCCACGCGTGTCCCAGTTCACACGGGGAACCCTCCCCTCTCCACCTTGTCTTCTCCCTACATCCTGCGCCCCCACCCCCGGGAGGGACGGGACGGCAGGAGTTGCCTCGGGGACTTGCGCTTGGGCACCTTCGACGCCCCCGGGGTGGGAAAGAAGGAGCGGGGCGGGCTTGGGAGGGGCAGAAAGAGGGTCGAGGGGCGGTCTAAAGCCACCGCGGCCCGCCTCTCTCCCCCCCCTCCAGCTCCGCCCCCCTGCCCCACCCCTAAGCCCCGCCGCCGGGTCCGGGCCCCGCCCGCCCGCCCGCCCGCGCGCGCGCCGGTCCAGCCTGCGATCACACTGCCAGCCAGCCCCGAAGCTACCGGGGAGACCCGTGCCGCCGGAGATGCCGCGGCTCGCCGCGCCGTGCCTGCGCCTGTGGCTCTGCCTGGGATTCCTCGACGGTGAGCACGGGGCGCTGCCAGTCCACTGCTGGTTCCGGGACTGGGGGCGGGGGGGGGGTTCCCTCCGTCCCTCCCTCCCTCCCCAGGCTGTGCGCCAGTGGTGGGGGACTCCGCGCCGACGGCAGGCAGGGGACCGGGCAGCCTGGAGGGTGCGCACGCCGGATGGGTCCCTGGGACAGCGGGTAGAGATTGCAGCCGGGTCAGGGACCGGGGTGAGCGGAGGGGGGGGGGGGGGAGACTGCGCCTTGGGAGATCGGATACTCTCAGGCTTCCTGGCTGAGACCAGGCGCTGCACTCCCGACCCCACCCCGCTCCCCAGGTACCCCGAGGCACCCATTCCCCCCCCCCCCCCCCCGGCCCTGGACACCCTTCGCCCCGCACTTCTCCGGTCCAGGACCCTGAGGTCTTGGCGCCCCACTTTCTCTAGGCCAAGGACTGCAGAGATCAGTGGACCCCAAATCCATCCCCCCCCCCGCCCCCCGCAGCTCAGACAGGCAGAGCTTGGGGTTAACTGTGCAGGAGCAACTGGGAATCCAAGGCCAAGCTTTTTTATTGTTAATTAAATGTTATTATGAAGGTGATGTACCAAGAGGTCATAAGATACGGAAGCTGGGAAAAGGCCAATCTTAAGTCTGAAGGGAGAGGGTTCACTTGGGATGTGACTGACCAGGAGCCTTGAAGGCCAGCCCCAAGGAGCCCGGACTATGGCGCAAAAGGATCAAGTCGCACAGGACTGAACGGTTTAGGTGTGAATTGGTGATCTGTCTCTGGCAGGGAGCGAGGACTGGAAAGAAGGGAGAGCGGAGGACAAGGAGGAAGCGAGGGGTTGGATGGAGGTATCAGGAAGGAAGAGGCAGAGAAGGGAGGATGAGCTGGAAATCCACTCTAGAGAGATCAGGGCGGAGGGGGCATCACAGAGCCCTGTGTGTTTCATTAGAGGAATGCTGAGAGATTGGGGGGGGGGGCGGGAATGATCAGATGCTTTTGCACTCCATAGAAGCTGTATACTGGCTTTGCATGCTCTACCCTTTCCGATTTCTTTCTATCCTTTCCGATCCCAGAGTATGAGGCCCAATTTACAGACAGAAAAGCCGACATTAGGACTTGAACTTGGGGCCGGAAGGCTGTCCCTAAGCTTTTCCCCCTCAAGTCTGGTGCTCTGCCACTGGAGCCACCTCCACTTAGTCTCCCAAACTTTCCTGCCCAAGCTGCCTTCAAACCATGATCCTCAGATTTCAGCGTCCTGACTAGCTCAGATTACAGGCATGTACCGTGAGCACTGGTCTCCCTAGATTATCGCTTGCATCCCTACATCCAGTCTCAGGACCAGTCTCTCTCTGCTGCACAGTGTGTGTTTGTTGAGTGACTGAGTGTGGGGGGAGAGGAGAGAATGGAAGCCTGATTGAACCGCAGAGGTAAAGAATGGAAGACCTCCCCCACTGCCCAGGAAACGTGCAACAAACAGCTGCATGTGGTATCTGAGGCTCAGGATAAAGGTTGGACTGGGGTAGCTGGAGAGGAAGCAGTGCGGGGACCCTGGGGGAGGAGATCTAAGAGGAAGGGGGCTTGCAGAGAGACAGGAACAGCCTGCAGGTGTGAGAACCAGGGGATGCCAACGTGAGTGGGAGGTGGGAGGCAGGGAAGGGAAGTGATACCATCTCTTCAGTAAGCACTGGCCACGCATCCCAAACCCAGCTGTGAAGGGGAGAAAGGGTATTTGCTAGGAGGGGTGTCTCAGACTGGACATGACTATGACTGGCAGAAAGATAACACTGATGGCAGAGACCCTGTCCCTGTGAGCTCTGTACCTGGTTCCACCCACTCCTGGGGTGGAAGAGGACCCAGGAGTTCCCAGCAGGAACATGAACCCCCAAGGTAGAGTCTGGGTGTGTAGCTCAGTGGCTCAGTGGTAGACGCTTGCCTAGTAGGCAGGAGACACTGGATGGTATCCTTAGCCCTGCAGAAGAAACCTCAGCAATCCTAAATTCAACCAAGTACCAAGAAAGCCAGAGTGGAAGGCTGGTGAGAAACCTTTAAAGACTATAGAATATCATGGTTTGCTTTTGTTTGTTTGTTTGCTTGCTTTGGCCATCCTCCCCCCCCCCCCCAGTCCATGTTGTGTGATTTGGACTCTCCTTTACCCTTCCCTCCCTGCACCTCAGTTTCCCTCTGAGTTGCAGTGGACAGGCTGGTAAACACTCTGCACATGTACCTGGGCTGGACTTCAAGGTTCAGCCCACAGTCTGACGCCATTGATAGGAAAGGTGGTAAATGACATACTCAAGAAGTTTCATCTTTGATGACTTCAAGGGAGGGGCTTCACCTCTAGACAGTGGGCAGCCAGCTTGGGATGTTCAGAGAAAGTAGCAGAGATTTTTTTTGGGGGGGGAAGGGGCATGAGCCTAACCTGAGGACACACCCCTGCCATGGCTTGAATCTTACCTGGCCGATGCAATTCTCTGCTTTCTCTACCCCTCAACCCTGACCCAAGCCCAGGAGAGTAGGAAGGGAGCGGGGATGTAAGTAGGTGCCAGCAGAATATGGGGGCTGGGTCTGCTTCGTTGGTGTCTATGGACCTGCTGGCCCTCGTCCAGTTCTGCAGGCATGCTAATGTCCACGCCGCTGGTCAAGCCACCATGCCTACAGCATGAAGCCACTATGGCTGAAGGGTTCTGTTTCCTTTCCAGTGCACACTGCCCTCCCCCTCCCCCAGGCAGGCCCACACAAGGTATCATAATGGACAGTCCACTGAACTCCCCCAGTATGCCAGTTCTGTGCAAGCCAACCAGCCATGGCGACCTCCTCAGAATGGGCCTTGGCCTGCAGGGTTTCTTGAATGCCAGGCCAGCAGGGGCCAGGATGTGGCAGCCAGACATCTGTAGCCCAGGGATGAATTTGCTCAGTGGTCCCTGGGAAGCCCAGCTGGGGACAGCACAGGAAGATAGTGTCCCTTCCCACTGAGGGGTCTGCAGATTTCAAGGAAGGGAGTTAGAAGCTGGGCAAAGAACCCCTTAAAGGCTCAGACATACAAACATCAGCTGTTGCATCGTCGGGACAAGTGAATGATCAGATGAAGCTAGAGCCTGGGGTTGAGTAACCAGGATGGACCCATGGATCCAGTGGTTGGTGGGAAGATAGAAAGAATGCCAGGTCTCTGGCTTAAGAGAAAGGGTGGATCATGTGGTCACTTATCAGATGGGGATCCCCCAAAAGGAGAATCAAATATGGAGAAGTCTGGCCTTCAGGACTTTCCATTTAATGTAACGGGGGCAGAAGGAAGACCAGGGAAATTAAGTAGGGTCCTAGCATGAAGAAGGAAGTTCTTCTCTGTGTCTAGCTGGCCCCTCCTGCTTCTTGTTTGGCTATTTTCATACATGGAGCAGATAGATAGATCTCTCTGCACCTGGGTCTGTGTGCCACCGTTTTCTGAGATGGCCCAGGAGTGTCAGATGGGCAGGGAGAGGGATCCAAAGAACCTCTCGCACTCTATGACAGACAAGCTACAGACACGTCCCACTTGGAGGCAGGGATTCCTGCCTTTCGATCCTTTTCAGACACTGGCTTCCTCTGGGATCTCAGTTTTCCGGTCAAGCGGAGGGGACCAGTCTGGGAGCAGGAAGGTGCTGTGGGAGGCTCGGGTGCCTGCTCTGCCCTGCTGTGGGCGGGGTGGACAGTGGACACGCCCCCTCTCCTTTGCCCAGCCCCTCTCCCCCTTGGATGGTGGGGGAAGGGGGAAGACAACTAGGACTGGACAGAGACACAGGTCTGGGTGGCAAGTAGGGGAGCCCCCGCCACGTGGCCAGCAAGGTCAGCAGGGGTTCATGGGAAAGGACTTGTCGGCCACAGAAGAGGACATCCTGCCTGCGTTTCCCTCTTCCTGTGGCAGGAGCCGGTGGCCCCGATTTAGCCATGCTGGGGGGCCACCTCTGAGCCAGCTGGGCTCATTGATAACATTGCTCAGGCTGCTGCTGGTGAGCAGAGACCTGACCCCAGCAAGACCAGGGCAACGGCCTGGCACAGCTGCCTTGAGCTTAGTGCTCAGCACCTGCTAGGGTACCTCCCACCTCTTTGACACCCCCACGGGGTACTGAGGCAGCCCACCTTCCCAGCCCATCCGTCCCCTGCTCTCCTTCCTTAGCAGTACCAACCGCACAACATCTTCCTGGCTTGTGTCTTCTTGCTTAGCCTAACCCGTAGCTCTGAAATACAGATGAGAGCCAGGCATTGGTGGCTGTAGCTACTCAGTAGGCTGAGATCTGAGGATCACAGTTTGAAGCCAGCCCAGGCAGAAAAGCCCCTGAGACTCTTATCACCAATAAACGAATCCTTTCCCCCTCCCCCCCCCCCCACACAAAGTGGAGCAGTGATTGAAATAGTAGAGTGTTAGCCTCAAGCAAAAGAAGCTCAGGAATAGTACCCAGGCCCTAGGACTGCCACACATCCAAACACCACAGATCCCACCCTTCAGTGTCCCCACCTTCAAAGATAGGGACCAGATTCTTGAACTACAGAAGCTGGTCCTTGCTGGAGCCCAAGGACAACCCTAAACCCACATGCACCCAGCCTGTACCTACTGAACTCTAGCCAATTACCAGGACCTTTTCCTACTCCAGACAGACTCCTGAGGAAGCTTCGGGAAGACAGCCTTAGCCTCCAAATGGAAGGTTGCACCAAGGGCTGGAAGGATTTCATCCCCATTCTAGGTGTGTCCCAAGAACACAGAATTCAGGCTTTCAAGTATACTGAAGGAATCCCTTTATCCTCACCTAACTGGGGATCCTGGTCTCAGTTTGCCTAAATTCTGCACAGTCAATTCTCTTTTTTATATTGTTATGAGTATGCAGGTGTGCACACATGCCCACTCATGCACACACACACACACACACTACACATACACACTCAAACTTAGAGCTTCTAGTTGTTAGTTACACTTTGGTGTAAGATGGTTCATCCAATTGTTTCAAACAAGGAAGTGTGGGAATTTTAACTTTGTGGTAATG